GGGCAGGGGGGAAACTTCTAGCAGCTTCCCCCAAAACCCCCCCCCGTCCCCCCCCCCCCCACTACCAAAACCTTGCCATACAAACCCAATACAGAATGGCAGTGCCTTTTTTAACAAAACAAAAAAAGAGCTTCACCAGCTTCCATTAGAGAGTCCCCCTGTAGTAGGGAATTGTTCGTAGTTGTTCAGTAGCCACAATAAACCCACTCTGTGGGTGAAGGCTTTGTGTCTCCTTTAGTCTCATGTGTGACTGCTTTCCTAATGTCTGTAAAGCAATCAAGGCTGGGTTTGTTCATCTTAGCTGGCCTAAAGCATCCAGTAATACACCAGCAACTTTTAATTAATGCAGTGTCCAAGCCATAACAAATATGGACCAAATGCTATTCTAAAATAAGGAGTCTACACAAGTGGTCACATAACACATCTTAATATAGGCTGAGAATCACAGGCAGCCCCTGGACTAGTAATTGCTCTATTCTCAGCAAGTACTATCAAAAAAACTACTAGAAAATCCTAAAGGATGTCTTCAGTAAATTAAAGAGCCTTTTAAGGGCCTATGCACTCCTTCTGAGTGGAGGTTGCATTGGTCAGAATTTTTCTGAACTAAATGGGAAGTCATAAGTAATTACCAGTCAGAACTGGGGACGAGATTTACAGGATATTTTAATGGGTGGGAGATGCAGTACAGGGAAGCCCCACCGTAATATTACTTCATTTCTTCCACAGTTACAATAACAAAGGAAAAGGAAAGTTTTCACACATGAAGATTAGCATTATGTGAGGTAAAAAAATGACTGTGGCAAGTCTCTCTATTTCAGTCTAAGATCTGGTGAACAAATTTCCTTATCAGTGGAAGAGCACAAATAAAGCTTTTCAGGCATGCAACTGTAATGAAGCCAGAGAAGATGTAATTACCAGAAAAGAAGAGGCTGCTGAGCCATTTCTGAATATTTCCAATAGAATTAAATAACCATCTGAAGACTGCAGGACTGTAAGTCTAGAAAATAATACTGTTTGTATCAGATCCTGAATATTCCCACTGTTAAAACAAAGCCTTCTGGACTTTGGAGGAACATAATTTCTATTAAAGCTCATTCATTATTCTGGTCAACATCTACTCATCCTCACCAGAACCTGGCAACTTCAGAATGAGATATCTTTCACAAGTTGTTGAGGTCAAAAAGAAAAGAAAAAAAATCAAACCACCAAAAAACAAAACAACTGCAACAAAAAACAACTCCAAACAAACAAAACCACAAAACCCACTGGTATTTCAGTGCCGTTCACTTTAGTTTAATACCATATACTCAAAGTTAGAATTTGGGCCAGAAAAAATGTTTCACATAATGTGAAAAGAAGGATGACGCCTCAACATGAGAAAAGAACACCTGATATACACAGTATTTACAAGATCAATGTCAGAAAAAGCAGCAGCAAAAATAGCTGTGTTATGCGGGACTACCATCAATGTGATGTACATAAGAATAATCCACAATGCTCTGGCCTCAGCTCCTGTATGGTGTCAGAGCCCCAATGCAACCTTTCCTCAGAGCTTCTCTACTGACCTAATTGGTAATAATTCTTCCTCAAAAGATTACAAGACAGCTTAGATCCCGTACTAGGAAATTCTAGTAAATGGCCAATCACACTTCTCCAAAGTCAGTTAATGCCCTTTTTAATCAAATACTTTGTTTGAAACAGTACTTCTTGGTGCAAAACAAGTAAAAAAATACAGTTCAAGCAGCTCCAAAACTCATTCTTCTGGGCTACATCAGTAGAACACAACTCTGTCTGATATATGGTGCAATCTAAACATGTATAAATTTGCTTAGGAAAAGACGTGAATACCATATACTTGGCCCATAGAATCACAGCATAAATGAGGCTGGGAAGAGACTTTGGGAGGTCTCTAGTCCAATTTCCTGCTCAAAGCAGGGCCAGCTCTGAAGTCTGACCAGGCTGCTCAGAGCTTTACCCAGCCAGGTTCCAAAACCTCCAAGAACAGAGGCTGCACAACTTCTCTGGGGAGCCTGCTGTGCTGCCTGGCTGTCTTCACTGGGAAAAAGTTATTCCTTATATCCAGAATCTCTTGTTTAAGAAATTTCAAAAATAAACAATACCTGGGATATCCATCAACTAGCAGCTCACTGTTTCACAAAACATCTCTATCTGAAACCTTTTAATACTCTAGAACGAGGAATAAAATCCAGGTTGTGGAGAGGGAAGGGAGACAGGAAACATACAAGAGGAAGAAAAGCTACTGAACTGGTCAACTGGTAACTACCCTAGCACGTTACATATATGTAACCATATTTCCACAGATATCAAGGATATCGTAGAATCATAGAATGGTTTGGGTTGGAAGCGACCTTAAAGATCATCTGGTTCCAACCCCCCTGCCATGGGCAGAGAC